AATTTTTTTTTTTTTTTTTTTTCACCGTCACACGCTACTCGCTATTCGTCAATTGTTATATTTTTTTACGCTTTTGTGTGTACCTGTGTACGTATGAATCGGTGTGTACGTGTGTATTTGTCTTTTCGTGTGTATGTGTTATATTAATGTCGATAATGCTCGAGTTCGCTAAATCGTTTACAGTAGAACGCGAAATCCTTCACGGGAACCGTCGTTGAAATTCACCGCTTTTCAACTTCCGGGGCCGGTTTCCACCACTTTATTTCATGCTTCTTTCTTCCGCTATCTTCGTCGCGTGTGCGCCTAAACATCGGCATACCACATATTATATTTACACCATCGAATTCACACCTGTGACCTCGTTATCACGACCGCGCACGCCATCTTTTCACTCAAACATACACCCACGCATACACACGCACAGCACACATACACACTCACTCTCTCTCTCTCTCTCTCTCTCTCCTTTTCATATCCGGCACGTTTTGTTTTTCATCTTCGTCCTCTTCGTAGCCGTGGTTGTCGACCGTGGAAAATCGATTCTCTTCTACGCGAGCGAACCGCGCGCGTCACAATTTCGCGACGGATGCGAGAAATATTCCGTAAATATACATCTCTAACTATGTACACGCGTGTCCCCGGCTCGACGTGTCCGCCTGAAATATGATCGCGACACGGTTTCACCGTTTCCAACGGGAAAGAAAGGAAACGTTGGATCCGAGTCGTTCAATTGAACAAACCACGCGTTTGCCGGTCGATTAATCCGTTTCGAAATCTAATGTGTAATTAAGCCACGAGTTATTCTCTTTCATCCTTTCGAATCTGCCGCTCGGAATCGTGAAAGTTAAAGAGAATGCTATTTCGCTACGTAATTCAGGTTTATCTCCGATCGGTCCATCTTTTTCCCCTCCCCCCGCTGATCCTTTTCAACAGATTCTGCTTCTTTCAACCGCTTCATCATAGAATCTGGTGGAAATGGTGGTTTACATTTGAGAAAAAAAATTGCGGGTTGATGTATTTACGCGTGAGGATTGTAAGAGTAACGAGTTGTCGTGGCTTGTAGATTCATAAGCGTCGTTTTTTTTTCTTTTTTTTTTTTTTTTTT